ATATAAGTGCTAGAGTAAGCCAGTGGGCCTACAATACTTATGAGTCCAATGACCTAGATTCACTTGAAATTTTAAGTGTCTATTCTTCTCACCAAGGTGCACTTAATAAAAATATTTAAAAAACATTCGTAATATATAAATTAACCAAAATACCCCTAAAAAGTTTTGGGTGGTCAATTTATTTCTCACGAATATTTTTTTGATATTTTTATTGATTATCCTATTTTTAAAGAACTCATGTACAAAATTTCAAGTGATTTGAATTTATATAAAAGAATTAAAATTAAAATACGAAATGCAATCGTGGTCATTTGATCTGACGATATTCAATCTGGGCTATTGGACTCAAAATCATTTTTTTCTATTTTAACATTGTTCATATGATGATAATAAAGTCATCTAAAAAAATTAGAAAAGAAAAAAAATCATTCTAAAGCTTAGATCTAAGCATCTTATCAAAATGGATGGCTTATGTTAATAGGGTTAAAAACATACTTTTGAGGTTGCATTTTCAAATTTATTTATTTATTTGTGATTGTTCATTAGAATAAAAAGAGTATATATTTTAAAATTTGGATCAAACAAATGGCCTTAACATGATTTTTGAAGATTGTATTAGATGAATAGGGCATATGTGCACAAGGGGGTTGAGTAGTTTTCTTAGCATAGGTTGCTCATGAAGGATTAGTTAAGACCCTCAATCTGGTGCGGCCAAATGTGGTTAAGGCAAGTTGAAGTATTTTTTAATAAGAGATGAGTTGTTCTATGCTAATTTAATGAAGTATTAATGTGGTTTTCTCTACAGGGATGCATTGCTCCTTAAGGTCTCATGGTGCATTTCAAGATAGAGTATAAGAGTCTTTTCGTATTTTGATATATCACTCGATGATAAATATTTGGACAAATATATGGTTTTGTGTACCCATTTCGTGAGATGTTGGATTTGGAGCCCACTTCTTGCGGGTACAGGGACCTCAATGAAAGTTGCAACATTCTTAATAGCTAACACAGAGAAGGATGTCCATGGTATTGCTGAACTTGGTCATGGTTAAGAGAGAAAAAACGGGACTTCCATGTCATATGGAATTCCTAATTGAGGATAAAGTTGACTAAAAGGAGTATTATCCAAAGTGAAAAAATAACTCATCGTTTGGATGTAATTTCTTCATAAGATAGTCTTATATGAAGGGCGAAGAGCAAAAAAAAAAAAGGAAAAGAGTAGAGATTTCCTAATTGGATTTACATGCCTGTCAAACAGGGTTTCTCTCTACACCTAAAGCCTCCCCACATACTATTATTTTTCTCTATATAGAAACCCTAGACTAAAAAAACTCATATTGATGATTCAAGAGTTCTAAATCTCTCCATCAAATATTCAGATTTGCATGGTACATACGATACTTTTAGTTCTTATAACTAATAGTCGCCATGAGGTTGTAGACATCGAACTCTCGATCCAGAGGAGTCTTGTGCAAAACGAATAGAAAGATAGCACCAACTGCAAAAAGGAAAATTGAATTAGAAAAATGTATATAATCTATATCCGATCCAAATATTTTTGTTTCTTCACAGCATTGGGATTCACCGATGAATCGAAAACATATTTAGCAAGGAGAGAGGTAAAAGACGCATATGAGCCATTAAAGAATGTGTTAGAAGGGAAAGTCTTCTGGGGTATTTGATTTTTGGAAGTGACGGTTTTTGATACCTCCACCTCTTAGTACTGTAGCATTTATCTGGTTAATAATGGGGAGTGCTACACATTTTTTTGGGAGTCATTGTAACCACAGCACCAAAAACAACATTAAAGTCAGGAAGACGCGGCTTCTATAAGGGACCATGTAACAAATTCCGCATCCTTGGAAGATACAGTTTCCACAGCCATGTGCTCCAAGAGTCAAACACGCCCTTCGTGTTTCTAATTTGAATGTGCAGGAGAACGACATATTATGTTACCATTGTTCATTTCACAGTGTATAGCAGCCAGGTCAATTCTGTAGTGTTCTTTGATGCACATCAATTTTGTAATATCTCTCGATGAACAACTTTAATTACCAATGAACTTATGTTGATATAAAAAATGCAATCTCTGTATCACTTTCAATGTATCTTGTAGCTTAACTCCAGTGCTTACACCTTAACTGCGAACCATCAGTTAAGCCTTAACTGCAAACCATCACTTTCAATGTTAAGTCTTAACTCCAGTGCTGACACCTTAACTGCAAACCATCACTTTCAATGTATCCACTATGAGAAATGTACATTCTTAGCAACAGGATAAATGGTAACCCCTTGTTCACTGCAGATGACAATAAAGAACACGGGTTTCGACTTGAGAATCGGGCTCATACCTTATCTCAAAATGAACACAAGGTTCAGAATAAGCTTAAAACTTGAACTTTCCAATATGAACAGAGGCTCAAAAAGGAGAGAAGAACTCAGACTTCTCCAAAAATATAGCAAAACGACTATGATTGACCTAGAGGCATGAGATGTTCATTCTATTGAAGATATCAAATGCCCTTGACTTGAATTACCATTATGATATGCCCTTGACTTGAATTACCAATATGTCTATGGGTTTCTTCATGAGCATACCACCAGAATACAATGAAGCCCAGTGAAATGCTGTAAATTCTTCTCTGATTTGCTTTATCAGACATGCTTCAAGATAATACAGGACCATATTTATTTACCTTCTAAGATAGATTAAATTTGAACATGAGAAGGAATTGATGAGATTAGGGCAAAAAAACATTGTTTTTAGTTAATGTAGATGAAAATGGAGCAAAAAAAAAATGGGTGCGGTTTGTATAGAGCCTAGGCTCTAAACAATCAAATTAGAGCCTACCTTCAAATAGTATCGAGAAATGTGGTTTAATGTTGGAAATATTTATGATAGCCTTAAAATATATTTTTATTTTTATTTGTAAAGTTTAAAGCTTCAACTATAGTGTAGATCAACATATATATGAAAATTTGAAAATTGACTGTCCAAAAATGCGTTATAAAATACACTATTTCCAAAACTTCCAATCCATTTTTTTTCTTATGTCCACGTATCTTGATGTCGCGATGATCAATTTGAAGATATTTGGGCATCAAAAGAACCTCCTCTAGTGAAATTTTTGAGGTAGGCTCAAATTTGATTGTTTAGAGCCTCTCTATATTTAACTTTTCCCAAAAAAATATATAGGTGAGTTTGCTCTCTTATATACCTTCCCAAGGTCTAAAATGATTTCTATTGATGGTTGAAGGCTAGGGATACAAGTGACATTTAGATCACCTTAAACACAATTATGAGACCATTTATTTTTGGTACAAGAAGGTCACAATCTTATTTAGCTTTTGGATGTGAAATCCCAAAGCTGAAATTGTATCACAATATTCGAGAAATTTTGTTTTGGACTTTGTGCCTAAACAATGACACAACTTCAACCACCCGATTTCAAATCCAATGGTTAATAAGAGCATAAATAAATTTGCAATCACGACATAAGTTTTTTTTTTCTCTATATCTGCATTTTTTATAACTGCAAACCATCGGTTTAAAGGTCCAACTGTCCCAAATATGTGAAAGCCTTCGCCCTATCTAATGTCCTTTATTTTCTAAGAGGTCGAAAAGATATTCTACTCCTCGGTTAAAACCCCAATTAGGATTAGTTTTAGGATCATAAATTTTGGGGATATAACATCTAATCTCTTTAACACAGATTAACCTCAATAACTTTTTTTTTCCTAATTGCACATTTTAATCATTTGAAAAAAAATAATGTCTTCAGATTAAATAGAAACCATCCAAAATTTTCAGGGTGAGATCTAAATATTAAAAAAACCCAAATTTTTATTTTTATTGTTTTTTATAATAATCATCTAGCAATTATGAGCGTTCACAAAAATTTTAAATTGAAAAAATCCTCTCAAATAGGCCATTTGAGAGAGGGAATAGAAGTAAACAATGCTCTCAAAGGAGCATAGTATTCATGCTCTTCACTGAATAAAAAACAAAGCCCATGGCCATGAGTGAATATTAGAAAATCAAACCAAAATCCAGCATTCTCAGAGTATATACAACATTCAAAGAAATATTCATAACACACAGAAAAAAAGAATGAAGAAATAAAGAGGTAAACCAATTACAATACAATGTTATTTAGATGTAAGCCTGGCGCGTTAGCTTGTAGCCAGAAATTAGTGCAGAGATGGCAAGAGCTGTGAAAGCAAAGAATGCCATACTTATGGAAGCACTAGACATGTCTGTGAACAGATTATCCACATTTTTTCTCATACTGTTGGTGAGGGGTATTGCAGCCGAGCATGCAGAAATAAGTAAATACGCCATCACCTGCTCCAAAAGTATCATATGAAAAACATAATTCCAGTGAAAAACTACATGCATATTTTATAGTATTGGAATTGCTGCGGCAGCGTTGAATAGTACAGTCTGATTTATGGAATCGGATGACTTTCGCCGTAAATTTTCCTTATTTGGCCCATTGAATGGATTTCGACCAAGATGGTACCACAATAATCACCCTCTGTTCCAGGAGGAATTTCCACATCCAATAAAACAGAAGCGAAAGCATCATTACAAGGTGTATATTTTTTTTTTCAGAGAACTGCATCCAGGAGTGGGTATTGATGGAGAGTCGATTAAGGTCATCATATAGTATAAAGGGGAGCAAATACATAGAGGATGAAGATTTAAAATTAGGCCAAGTTGACTCGGACTCGGTTGAATAACTCAGCCCCGGTACCCTACCAGGTAGTAGCGCACGTACTCGGGAGCATGGGCACATGTTCTATACTTGTGCAAGAACTGTACGGACACGCCTGAGTATTGCAGAATTCTTGCAAACATGCAAGAATTCTAAACCACTCGGGCAAGTTTGTATGGTACTCGCCTGAGTACTATTCACATGAAAATCCGGCCTCAATTTATTGATTTCCTTAACCATTTTTGCCTCAGAACCCTTACTTTGATCCAAGTTTATGAAATAACGGAGAAAATTATTTGATCTACAAATTAGAAATGATGAAAATAGAACCCTAGCCTTATCTTTCTTTTACTTGATCCCTTGTCTTTGTTTTCTTGATCCCACAAGTTGGTTGTTCCAAAGGTGAAAAAAAAAGACCATCAAATTTTATAGATTTTATATTCAGATTTTCTATTAATATAAAAATTTGAGAGCCTTGGATCCCTAAGATACGAAGACAGAACCAAAATTTGTTTTGGAGGTTTTGTTTGGGGCTGCATAAGGTAGCTTTGGCAAGGATTTTAAGTCAAACAAATCCAGAAATTGGTCCACAAATCCAGAAATTGGTCAAGAAATTTTAGAGCTTGTGTTCCACTTGGTGTGACAGTAAAAAATCTCAGGTAGCCAATGACCAAGGGCGGTCACTTAGTGCATAAAAAGTCAAAGATTAAGACCGTTTCTATCTCATCCCTCTTAGCCTTTTTATTTCAAAGCCATTATGCACACGATATTTAGCATTACCTTTTAATCATTCGTATTACTTTTTTTACATGATTATATTTTCTGATTTTCACTCCAAATTTCACCCTTTTTAATTGAATAATCCCTAGCACTTGGTGGACCCAAGACATATCCATTCAAACTCACCCTAGTAACTCGTCTCAGACAAGACCTGAGTCCCAAGCCCGAGCTAAGTTTCCGCGCATTGGGCCAAAGAATGTGTTCGAAAGCAACATGGCTAAACATTGCACTAGGAGACAGACCGGTTTAGTTAGTCAATAGGTTTTGAACGATTTATAGTACTCTTGACATCTCGTGTACAACTAAAATTTAAAAGTATTAATGAAAAAAAAAAAAAGAAAAAAAAAGAGGGAACCAAAGTACTTGCCTGATCGCCAACAAAGTCAACATAAAAAGACGATGGTCGTGTGATTATGTCTTTTCCGGTGAGAAGCCGATGAATATCTCGTGCAACCTGACATGCGGTGTACAAACATGCCAGAATTGCAATTCCCAAAATGTACCTGCAGGCCATCACCACATCATCATACACAAATTCAAGTGTTCACAACCAGGACGGGATTGGGCTCATGCCTGGGAGGAGTAACTCGGGCCAAGTTAAAGTTACTCGGCCCGAGTTGGGTAAGGTCCTCGCTAATCCAAAAAGTGTTAAGAAATAAAAAAAGTACAAAAAAACCCAAATAAATAGAAAAAATAATAAAATTAAACAAAATACATCTAAAGAAGTTAAAAAAATAGTGAAAATATAGATTTTGAAAAAAATCAATTTGTGACGTGAGTATTTTAGAAATAATCTAAAACGAAGGAAAAAAATCTAAAAAACAGTATTTATAGGCAAAACACTTCTCAATCTTTGTCAAAATAATAGAAAACATTTAAAAAAAAAACCAAATTAATTTCTTATTTTTTGTTTTTTTTTAATATTTTTTTTTATATCCCCACCAAACTCTTGGCTACTCGCCTCACCAGAAGGATGAGTCAAGTTACTCAAGCGAATCCGAATTGGCTCTCCTGACTTTTTAAATATTACACAAAATAACCAACAATAAATAGAGAGAGAGAGAGGGAGAGGTGGATGAGACGGTACACTCACCAACGAGAGATGAAAAAGTTAATGGGAAAAAAAAACAAACGGGTGAGTGAGACCTCTCCATATACAAAAGATAAACAATCTTTTTATCAAAAAATCCCATATACTTTTCCACATGAGAATAGTACAAGAGAATCATGCTGAATAAAGGTGTGGTTTCTATAAAGTTGCAATCTTAAACAATTCAATTACGGCGCACCTCCGAATTTTGTCATAACATGTAATTTTGGTGTACAAAATTATTAGGATCATCTCAAAATCTATTTTCATATCTTACTACAAAATTTTAAAATCCAAAAGCGGTTAAAATCAAGTAGATCTATAAGAAAATATTAAAAATGGATGGTCTAGATAATGTGTTGCAAGATGTACTATTTTTTAGATGCAAAATCATTTGTTTTTTCAAATGCATATATTTCGATATCGACATGATCAATTAGAGGGTTTTTCAATATTAAAATAACTTTTTTCGATGGATTTTTGAATTGCACCTATAATTCTACATTGAAAAGTTGCAACCTTATATAAACTTCTTCCGCTACATAAAGATATGTACATGTCTACATCTAGGAAGGAAGAGAAGTAAGAAGGTCAGTTTTCATGTATCCCATTACGATCCTCTTACATTTGCAGACAACCGGAGTCATGTTCAAAGATAAGAAGTGATTCGCTAGGGAGAGATACTTTATCATCATCAATGCAGTCACGGGCACCCCAATGCGATGCAATCTCTTAGTGTTAGATGTAGTGGTTTAAACTTGGGATATGGTGTATAATAAAATAATATTTCGTTGTTGCATGTATAATAATTGGGAGAAAATTACTTAACATTCATTTTCCAAAAGGGAAAGCATTGATACAAGTGGTCACATTAATCTTGACTATTGGATGTGAAATTGGGTGGCTGTAATTATTTTATCGACTAAGCTCGAACTTCAAAAGAAATTTTTTCAAACTTTGTGACACATTCAAGCTATCAAATTTCATATCAAATGGTTGTAAGGAATTGTGACCACGTTGTATCAAATATGAATGATCTCATTGTATACAATCCTTATTCAAACTTATTATGCAATTTACTATGAGGTCTTTTTTTGTGATAGATTTTTTTTTTTTCTTGAAATGCCATTAGTTAGTTTGGTACTTAAAAGGTTGGAAAGACATTAATTTTTAAAAATTTGGTCCAACACTCAAAACTACCTTACCCACTTCTTCATAATATTGTTGGTCTTTATCCCAAGTGCTTGGCCAACCTTTGACAAGTCGTCAAAAGTCGGTTTGACACTTGAATTACAACCTTGAAGACTTAAAGGGCAAAAAAAATAGTATGTAAGTGGGAATTTGATCTCCGATCTGTTGATGAGAATGGAACCAGAAACTTCATTTTAGAACTCGTTGGTACTACTACCAAAACCGACTCAAAGAAATACTCAAAGAAATAGAAGCTTAATTGTGATTGAGCTTTGTTTGTCTTGGTAGGCTTTAGAGAGAGAAAAAAAAAAAAAAAGAGGAGGTCGGACCCAACTTATGGCAAAAAAAAAACTTGCCAAAGGTCAGCCCGTGTTGAACTGACATTACTCTAGAGAAGTTGCTACAAGTGTCTGGCCCACTTCAAGTATTAGGCAATTAGGGTGAAAAATTGCCTGACAAAGAAAAAGGACCTCGACATAAAATTCATAAATATTGGGATTGGTTTTGAATTATGAAAATAGAATGTTTAAATGAATTTCCCTGATAATAAATACAGTCATATGTTGAGGGCACAACGATAGCCTGCATGAATGGACATAGGATGACAAGGCAAAGGATTCATTTGTGAGGTTGGGAATGGGCCGGGTGGCGGAGCCCGACAAACTAGGGCCTACACCGACATCACCGAGCTAAAGGCCAAGGCGCTAGATATATATTGGAATCACAAAGACGGACTAAAAATCTCGAAACTTGCAAAGAGGGAGTATAAGAAAACAGCAGTGGGGAGAGGAGAGAGAATACGTCGAAATCCACATACCATTCATTCCATATGCCAAAACTTAGAAAACAGAGAAGTACCATTACAAATGTAATTTTAGATTATCGGAGAAATCAGTGCCAAAACTTAGAAAACACAGAAAACAGGGGACTATTGCAAGATGATTAAGAATAAACATAACTATTTAGAGGAAAATAGGATGCACAAATTGTGAGTTACAGAGAGAGTGGCAGAAATTTTCCCAAGGTAAATAGTTGACAAGTAATTCATATGATGTACATTTCTCCACTTGCGATTTGCAAAGGGAAAGGGAAAGACTTCAAATTGCAGCTTGCAGGCCACGGAATGAGAATGACAGAGGGCGAATTAATTAAAATTAAGAGAAGCATAATCTGTAATGCGTATGAGAAAGTCGGATCAAATGTTAAAAGATATCAGCGAACAAAAGAGAGAGAGAGAGGAGACAGACCTGTACTCGTCGTAATGGTCGAATTCCATCCAACCCCCATGTTGGTTGGTGGCCATGATCAAGAAGGAGAGCAAGGCGAATAATAGAGCTAAACCCCTTAACACAAGCCCACTTCTCTTTATCAAATCCTCTCTCTCCCATCTGCTCAGAATCGAAGAAACGGCAGTCGAACCCCGAATTTCAGTGTCAGTGGCCGGAGCTGGGGTTGATGCCTCAGATTCTGTGCCTTTCTCCGATAAAGGGGGTAATTTTCCGGCTGTTTCATCGCCGGAATTCGCCATCCAGAATTTTGGAGGGAGAGAGGGGAGCGCGTGGAGAGAAAATTGGGAAAACACTCTGTCCGGCCTTCCCCGACGTAAGAGAGAGAGAGAGAGAGAGAGAGCAGTTGGGAACTGGAACCAGAGAGGAGAGAGAGAGCCTGGCTGGCTTTCGACTTGGTTTAGAGAGAGAAAGAGGGGGGTTTGGTCAAATAACCCAATGCGTCGGTAGATCCTATACTTGGGCCTAAGACACCTTGCCTCGCGATGAATCCCATGCCTCTGCTGCGCGGAAAGTATAATAAGAGAGTTAGACTTGGAATGAATGATGTATGAGAGATTTTAGGACCAATTGGAAAGGATGAATTCTGTGAAGGAAAATTTTTTTATAGAGGCGCGAGGCTTTAAATAATTAAATTATATCCTACCTCAAAAATTTCATTAGAAGAGGTTGTTTTGATGCTCAAATATCTTCAAATCGATCATCTCGACATCAAGTTGCATGGACTTCATAAGAAAATGGATTTTAAGTTTTAAAAATAGCGCATCTTGTAATTCATTTTTTTACCGTCAATTTTCAAGATTTTCAAGTTTGTATACATATTCTTTATCTACACTGTTTTTGAAGATTTAAATTTTATAATTAATGATAAAAATATATTTTAAGGCTATCACAAAGATTTTGAATGTTGAAACCACATTTTCGACACTAGTTAAAGGTGGGCTCTACTTTGATTGTTTAGAGCCTTAGCTCTATGCAAACCGCACCCTTCTAGAAATACAAATTTTAGGTAGGGGTGGTAATGGACCCGGACCCGACTCGGGACCCTGTGGTTATACCCAACACGGGTTCGGGTATGGATCCAACATTTGGACCCACGGGTCGGGTTGGGTCCAAAACCTGGACCCAAATACTATTCGGGTCTGGGTCCAGTTGGACCCGACCCGTACCCGTAAATTGTTGGAGATACAATACTTCAAGCCCCATTCGTTTGGATGTATTAAGGATCATATACAATAATAATTTGTAGTCATCCTTAGCCATTAGACAACAAATCAAATGGTTAGCAGGTGATTGTGACATTGTTGTCAATATTATGAGTATAAGATATTAAAAATAACAAAAAAAAAAAAAAAACTCATAGTAATGGTTACAATGGATCCAATGAGATAAACCCGAGACCCGACGGATATAGGTTCAACTTTGGGACCCGACAGATCAGGTACGAGTTCAAAACATGGACTCAAATGCATTCGGATATGGGTCTGGCTCCGAATCCGAATATTGCCCATTGCCACCCCTAATTTGAAGGGATAGAGAGGGAGGAGACGGTATAAAATGGGGAATTCTACAACTGAATGACTAGGTGAGAGAGAGGCAATGTTACATAGAGAGGCATGGTTCCTAAGTCTTGGATAACATGATATGAGATCCAGGAATCTAACGAGCTGTAGAGGGAAAGGTGAAAAACTCTCGTGCTAGCAGGAGAGAAATTTATGGAATCCGTGACCACGGGAGAGATGCTAGGAATCTAATGAAAAAGGAGTATAGACTTGTGTCATTATATTTGCACATCTCGGTCAAGTGTTGTATACGCAATGAAGTTGTAGAACATTACGAAGAATAAAGTCATAAATCCTTCATTCATAAATATAATGGACAACAATTCACATGAATATAAAGGACAAAGAGAGGGAGAATTCGTTGTTGGAACTTTGTGGTACTATAATCACCCATTTTGAAATTTAATAGATAAGAGTTATTGGTGTCTTTGTATAAAAGACAAAGGCTGCCGTTTATATAGAGTCGAAGTTCTACACTATTAAAATAAAGTGCACTTTGAAATGATGTCGAGAAATGCGATTTTAATACAGGAAAACTTTGTGATAACCTTAAAATATAGTTTCATTTTTATTTATAAAATTTAAAACTTAAAAAATAGTGTAGATCGAGTAGATCTATGAAATCTTGAAAATTGATGGTAAAAAAATATAGTACAAGTGCATATTGATGTCGAGATCTTCAATTTGAGAATATTTGGGCATCAAAACAACCTGTTTTAGTGAAATTTCGAAAGTGCACTCTAATTTGATTGTTTACAGCCTCAGCTCTATATAAACTTTTTCCAAAGATAAATGGTCTCTTTCTATATATACTGGACTGCATTTCCGCAAGTCCAGAGGTACAAAGCATCCATCTTGGTCTATCTAAAAACAATTGCAATTAACAGTCCAAATGTTTGCTTAATGTAATTATTATTTTTAATTTTCAATTTTCTTTTCTTTCATATTCCTGTTCTCCACGTTAAATATTATATATACTCTGAAAATTAGGATCAAAATATTTTTTAAAATATAATTATTGTCATGCTCGTATTTCTACAATATACGGGTTGGCCCCACGCTAATCGCGTCCTATATATATGTAAAGAGCTAACAAAACTCTTGGCAGCTATAATGAAAACTAATATAGGTAGAATCTCTGTTGTCAGATTTTCATTGGGTTGTTCAAAATACATATCACTACATGAATTTCAATCTTTTTTGTAGAAATTTGATCATGATGAAATTTTGGGCATGTGTACTAAAAAATAGGGTGTGAAAGAAAATATATAAAACAAGTATTTTATAAAAAATAAAATGACCAAAATATCCTTAAAAATGACAAGGGTAATTTGGTCATTTAAAATTTAAAAATATTTATATATATATATATATATATACGAGAAGATTCTCAATTAGGCCAATGGAAAGAAAAATTTATTGCTGGTCTACCCTATTTATTTGCAGAAAAAGTCAAAGATAGACTTAGAAAGAAACATAATGGAATTATAGTATATTCAGCCTATACACTTGGAGAACTCTCTGCAGCAATATGTGCTGAAGGATTAGCTTTATGTACTAATCTTAAACTCAAAAAACAGTTAGATAAACAACAAATTACCAAGCGTAAAAAACTTGGTGATTTCTGTGAACAATTTGGATACCATATAGATAGGAAAAATATGCCTGAAAAGTTATATAAGAAAAAGAAAAAATATAAAAAAAACAAATATAAATCCAAATCAAATAAAGTACATAAACAATATAAAAAGTCTAAACAAAAATTTATAAATAAATTTTCTCCAAATACAAAGAATAAAAAGAAACTTCCAGTATGTTATAAATGTGGAAAAGTTGGTCATTACAAACACCAATGCAAATTAAAAAAGAAAATAGAATCATTACATTTAGATGATTCAATTAAATCAAAATTATATAATATAATCAACTATGATTCAATATCTTCAGATTCTACTGACTCACATATAGTACATATTCAGGATGATGACCTTTTATGGACAGAATCATCTGATTCTTCAGATTCTTCGACAGACACAGAATCATCCAATTCAATAAAAGATACTAATTGTAGTTGCCCTATACCTACACATAATCTTCATATGCTTACTCATGAAGATAATTTAATATTAGATATTATTGAGAAAATTACAGATCCAGAGGAAAAAAGATTTGTAATCACTAAATTTATTACAATAGCTAAAACAAAAGCAAAGACACCTCCAATAAATAAAACACCTGATGAATACAATTTTGCTTCTATTATGAAAAGAGTAAGTGAACAACATACTTCTCAACAAAAAGAACCTTCTATTTCAGACTTAAATCAAAAAATCAAAGAAGTTAAAAAAGAAGTATTTCAATTAAAAAATAGTTAAATATAAC